CACAGCAAAAACTTGCTGAGGTGCATTGAAGCATGCGTGAGGAACAGTCTCTGAACAGCAGTGTGGTTCAGCTGGACCTGCTGGGCAGAGCTCACAGGTTGGAATAGGAGTGTTGAAGCCATAGGCTTAGTCTCAGGTGTTGAAGCTACATGGCCCATCCTTGTGAAAGAGTGGGACGCCTTGGAGGTCTAGTGCACTCAAGGGGCACCTCCCAAGGACTGTTTAAAAGCCTGTGGATCCATGACAATGTGCCAGAGGTTAACCCTTATGGGAAAAAGATATAAAACAAGAAAATGATCTAAATTCATATTTACCATTGCCCCCTCCTCAGCCCTCATGGGAATCCCTGATCGGTTCCAAAGTGTATTAGAACCTTCCTTAAAGGCTTACCTCTTAGTTATCAGGTCATGTCAGTTTTGTTAGAGGGCTTTCCCTTCACCCTCCCACTTCCCTGGTTCTTGTCACGTAGACAGGAAGAAGCAAAAGACCAGAAGTCGGAAGTGCAGATAATGCAATGTTTATTGGGGTTAGTTTCCAAGCAAGCATATTCCGAAGCCTTTCACACTAGTCGGGCTTATCTCTGTATGCTGATAGTCTGTTCCCCAGTGTTCCCTCCCCAGCTCCGACGCTGCAGAGCGTTTACCTAGCATCCCCCTTGCCGGCTCTGACGCCGCAGAGCCTTGCCTGTGTCCCTGTTCCCGTTCCACCCCTTAACACACATGATTCCAATTTCCCTTCCCCCTCCTGATTGACCCCAGTTTATATAGTAATATTCTCAGCTATATCTTAACCAATCATTTTACTGAAATTTAACAAACCAGTTCTAACATAGTGTAACATAATTCTCTAACCAATTATATCCCACTACCCTAATTAACTTACACCTAGCAACGTTAATTATACAGCTGACAGAAACAATTAGAGAACCAGACTGATTAATAATGTAAAAGTGGTGGCCATAAATATAAAACAATACAGAAATGAGGGTTTCACAACCATTGATAAGTGATTTCTTGCCAGACAGGATGCTATCAAACTAAGTTTTCTTTAATCATCTTAAGATCTGTTTCCTTATCTGGTGGTGATGGGCACTGTCCATAGAATCATAGAATATCAGGGTTGGAAGGGACCCCAGAAGGTCATCTAGTCCAACCCCCTGCTCAAAGCAGGACCAATTCCCAGTTAAATCATCCCAGCCAGGGCTTTGTCAAGCCTGACCTTAAAAACCTCTAAGGAAGGAGATTCTACCACCTCCCTAGGTAACGCATTCCAGTGTTTCACCACCCTCTTAGTGAAAAAGTTTTTCCTAATATCCAATCTAAACCTCCCCCACTGCAACTTGAGACCATTACTCCTCGTTCTGTCATCTGCTACCATTGAGAACAGTCTAGAGCCATCCTCTTTGGAACCCCCTTTCAGGTAGTTGAAAGCAGCTATCAAATCCCCCCTCATTCTTCTCTTCTGCAGGCTAAAGGATCGTCTTCCTAACAGCCCAATACAACCTTATTTCAATGTGACTGGTTTGGGATGTGAGGATGTGACCCTACGCTTCCCAGCTTATGGCTGCCCCTGCTGTTTAGCCAAAGGCCTTAGCCTAACAACAATGCCTCAGACTATCCTAGTGAGAGAAGGCCCATACATAGGCAGACTGTGATTTTTATTCTTTGTTTTTATACCCCTGTAACTAGCTAAGTGATTAAAAATACAGTAACTCCTCACTTAATGTTGTAGTTATGTTCCTGAAAAATGCAACTTTAAGTGAAACGATGTTAAGCGAATCCAATTTCCCCATAAGAATTAATGTAAATGGGGGGGTTAGGTTCCAGGGAATTTTTTTTTTTTGCCAGACAAAAGGCATTATATACATTTTAAACAATTTTAAACAAGCAATTTAATACAGGTGTAAGTTTTAAACTATTTTAAAGCTATTTTGGGGGGAGGGATAGCTCAGTGGTTTGAGCATTGGCCTGCTAAACCCAGGGTTGTGAGTTCAATCCTTGAGGGGGGCATTTAGGGATCTGGGGCAAAAATTGGGGATTGGTTCTGCTTTGAGCAGGGGGTTGGACTAGATGATCTCCTGAGGTCCCTTCCAACCCTGATATTCTATGATTCTATGAAAACAACAATTTAATATACAATCATCATTGCTGAGTATGAAGCTTGGTTGAGGTGGTGGAGTCAGAGAGTGGAAGAGGGTGGATTGTCCAGCTGCTGTTCTTGCTGAACTTTCTGAACGTGAAAAAACAAATCTAGAGATTGTTTTGCTTTCCTTTTTTTTTCTTGGTAAATTTCTTTATAGCAAGTCATTAGATGATCAACTCCCCTAATCACTTTGGAGCTGCATTTCCTGTCAAGATCATCATCACTCAGGATTTGCAAGCCTGCCTTAACGTGCCTCTTCTCCCCCCACACCACCTCCTGCTTTCGTCCACACGCTGCATCCTCGCTTCGCCCCCTCCCTTCCCTACCTCCTGCCTGTGGCAGTCAGCTGGTTGCGGCATTCAGGAGTGAGGGGGGAGGAGTGAGGAGTGAGGACTCGGCTTGCAGGCTCCCCCACCCTCTCCTGCCTCCTGAATGCTGCAAACCAGCTGATTGCTGCAGGCAGGAGGCAGGGAAAGGTGGGGGAGGCTGCGTGCAGACTCCTTACTCCTCCCCCCTCCCTCCTGCCTCCTGAATGCCACAAACCAGCTAATTGCCACAAGCAGGAGGCGGGGGGAGCAGGGGGAAGGCGCTGATCTGCAGGGTCTGCTGGTGGGCAGGAGGTGCTGGGGGGGGCGCATAGGAGAGCTGATAGGGGGGCTGCCAGCTGAGGACAAAGCAGGCAGCTAAATAACGTTATAGCGGAGCATTTCACAACTTTAAATGGAGTATGTTCTGTAGTGGAGCAGGGACGTAAGAGTGAAACAACATTAAGCGAGAGGAAGTTAAGTGGGGAGTTACTGTACACCTAAGTTGTTAAAGTATAGGCTTTACAGGCAGGCCTGAATATCTATATTCTAACAGTGCATTATACCCCCATTTTGTGTCTGTCTTGTCTATTTAGATTGTAAATTCTTCAGGGCATTGGCCATCTACTATTCTCTGTACTTTGCCTAGCACAATGGGGACCCACTGTTAGTTGGTCCTTAGGCACTAAGGTAATGAATATGATTTATAATAATAACAACTCTCCTGCCACTTTGAGCCAAGGAAGATGGCCTTGGGATCTGAGGATGAGGGGAAAGCAGTGGACGTGTTGTTCCTTGACTTTAGCAAAGCTTTTGACACAGTCTCCCACAGTATTCTTGCCAGCAAGTTAAAGAAGTATGGGCTGGATGAATGCACTATAAGGTGGATAAAAAGTTGGCTAGATTGTCGGGCTCAATGGGTAGTGAACAATGGCTCCATGTCTAGTTGGCAGCCGGCATCAAGTGGAGTGCCCCAAGGGTCGGTCCTTGGGCCAGTTTTGTTCAATATCTTCATAAATGATTTGGAGGATGGTGTGGATTGCACTCTCAGCAAGTTTGCAGATGACACTAAACTGGGAGGAGAGGTAGATAAGCTGGAGGGTAGGGATAGGTTACAGAGGGACCTAGACAAATTAAAGGATTGGGCCAAAAGAAATCTGATGAGGTTCAACAAGGACAAGTGCAGAGTCCTGCACTTAGGACTAAAGAATCCCATGCACCACTACAGACTAGGGACCGAATACCTAGGCAGCAGTTCTGCAGAAAAGGACCTAGGGGTTACAGTGGACAAGGAGCTGGATTTGAGTCAACAGTGTGCCCTTGTTGCCAAGAAGGCCAATGGCATTTTGGGATGTATAAGTAGGGGCATTGCCAGGGGATCGAGGGACGTGATCATTCCCCTCTATTCGACGTTGGTGAGGCCTCATCTGGAGTACTGTGTCCAGTTTTGGGCCCCACACTACAAGAAGGATGTGGAAAAATTGGAAAGCTTCCAGCAGAGGGCAACAAAAATGATTAGGGGACTGGAACACATGACTTATGAGGAGAGGCTGAGGGAACTGGGATTGTTTAGTCTGCAGAAGAGAAGAACGAGGGGGGATTTGATAGCTGCTTTCAACTACCTGAAAGGGGGTTCCAAAGAGGATGGATCTAGACTGTTCTCAGTGGTAGCTGATGACAGAACAAGGACTAATGGTCTCAAGTTGCAGTGCGGGAGCTTTAGGTTGGATATTAAGAAAAACTTTTTCACTAGGAGAGTGGTGAAACAGTGGAATGCGTTACCTAGGGAGGTGGTGCAATCTCCTTCCTTAGAAGTTTTTAAGGTCAGGCTTGACAAAGCCCTGGCTGGGATGATTTAGTTGGGGATTGGCCCTGCTTTGAGCAGGGGGTTGGACTTGATGACCTCCTGAGGTCCCTTCCAATCCTGATGTGACTGCTTAAAAATGAGTTGGGATTAAAACCATGGAATAATCTTTGTGACACATATCCCACAAATTCCGCTGACCTCCCTTGTTTTCTTTGCCTGGAGTAGGGTTTCCAGTTTCCAAACCTGGTGTGATCTTGCAGCTGGAACGAGGGGAAGATCTGTGGGTCCCAGACCTCCAGGGCTCTGAGCAAAAAGTGCTCCCGAGAGCTGCCTGCTGGTTTAACCAATTCCAGGTGAGGAATTGTTTAAACCAACTCAAAAACTGTTTGGGAATGCAGGAAACATTTGGGATTCCCTACAAAGAGCCTGTGAGCTCTCCAAGTTCAGGATTGTTCCCTGTAGGCGTGGAATCATTATGGCAGATGTCACCTATTCTGACTTACAACTGGCAGCCCGTCCCTCTCCGATCTCGCTTTCCCCGAGTGTTCTGGTGAGATGCGGACCAAAACTGATCCTTTCCTCTCTCCTCTGAGGAAGGGGTTGGGGAAAATCAGCTCCTGATAGGTTTGATCTCTCCCACACATATTTTGGTTTGTTCATCCCCTTCTCCATTCCTTTCTCTGAGATTTCCTTTCTTTCTGACACAGGGAGTGACCTATGTCTGGATTCTCTCTGTCTCCCATCAGGTGATGGGATGGTGAGTGAAAATGAGGAGGAGAAACCCCAGCAGGAAGATGCTGAGGAAGAAGAACCACATGGAACGTTATCAGGAAGATCCAAAGGGAATGTTTCCAGTTGTGCACTCCCAGAAAAAGCAAAAGCATGTGAGACTGAGCAGAGGCCAGAGGAAAACTTCAGTAGCCACTCAGACCTTAATACACGTGAGAGAATCAACTTGGAAGAGACACGCTACACATGCCATAAGTGTGGGAAAAGCTTCAATCGGAGCTCAACCCTTCTCACACATTGGAGAACCCACACTGGAGAGAAACCCTACACATGCTCTGAGTGCGGGAAAAGCTTCAATCGGAGCTCTGCCCTTATCACACATCAGAGAATCCACACCGGTGAGAAACCTTATGGATGCTCTGAGTGTGGGAAATGCTTCAGTCAGAGGCCACACCTTACTGCACATCGGACAATCCACACAGGTGAGAAACCTTATGAATGCTCTGAGTGTGGGAAACACTTCATTGATAGTTCAACCCTCATCTCACATCAGCGAATCCACACAGGAGAGATGCCCTACACATGTTCTGAGTGTGGGAAAAGCTTTAATCAGCACTCACACCTTATCACACATTGGAGAACCCACACTGGAGAGAAACCCTACACGTGCTCCGAGTGCGGGAAAAGCTTCAATCAAAGCTCAAACCTTATCAAACATAGGAGAATCCACACGGGTGAGAAACCTCATGGATGCTCTGAGTGTGGGAAACGCTTCATTCATAGTTCAGCCCTCATCTCACATCAGAGAATCCACACAGGTGAGAAACCTCATGGATGCTCTGAGTGTGGGAAACGCTTCAGTGATAGATCAGCCCTCATCTCACATCAGCGAATCCACACAGGAGAGATGCCCTACACATGCTCTGAGTGTGGGAAAAGTTTTAGTCGACACTCAGCCCTTATCACACATCGTAGAATCCACACAGGAGAGAAACTCTACACATGCTCTGAGTGTGGGAAAAGCTTCAATCGGAGCTCAAACCTTATCACACATAGGAGAATCCACACAGGTGAAAAACCTTATGGATGCTCTGAGTGTGGGAAACGCTTCATTCATAGTTCAGCCCTCATCTCACATCAGAGAATCCACACAGGAGAGACGCCCTACACATGCGCAGAGTGCGGGAAAAGCTTCAATCAGAGCTCTGCCCTGATCACACATCAGAGAATCCACACAGGAGAAACGCCCTACACATGCTCTGAGTGTGGGAAAAGCTTCAATCAGAGCTCAAACCTTATCACACATAGGAGAATCCACACGGGTGAAAAACCTTATGGATGCTCTGAGTGTGGGAAACGCTTCATCGATAATTCAACCCTCATCTCACATCAGCGGATCCACACAGGAGAGAGGCCCTACACATGCGCTGAGTGTGGAAAAAGCTTCAATCAGAGCTCAAACCTTATCAAACATCAGAGAATCCACACAGGAGAGATGCCCTTCACATGTTCTGAGTGTGGGAAAAGCTTTAGTCAGCACTCACAACTTATCACACATTGTAGAATCCACACAGGAGAGAAACCCTACACATGCTCTGAGTGCGGGAAACGCTTCAGTTATAGCTCAGCACTTACCACACATCAGAGAATCCACACGGGTGAAAAACCTTATGGATGCTCTGAGTGTGGGAAACGCTTCATTCATAGTTCAGCCCTCATCTCACATCAGAGAATCCACACAGGAGAGAAGCCCTACACATGCTCTGAGTGCGGGAAAAGCTTCAATCAGAATTCTACCCTGGTCACACATCAGAGAATCCACACAGGAGAGACGCCCTACGCATGCTCTGAGTGTGGAAAAAGCTTTAATCAGAGTTCAAACCTTATTAAACATCAGAGAATCCACATGAGAGAGACGCCCTACGGATTATCTGAGCATGGGAAAACCTTCAATCGGAGCTCAAGCCTTATTAGACATCAGAAAATCCACATGGGAGAGACACCCTACACCTGCTCTGAGTGCGGGAAAAGCTTCAGTTATAGCTCAAAGCTTATCACACATCAGAGAATCCACAGTGGCGAGAGACCCTACACATGCTCTGAGTGTGGGAAAACCTTCAATCAGAGCTCAAGCCTTATTAGACATCAGAAAATCCACATGAGAGAGAATTGTAATAAATGTCTTGACTAGGGCTGGCCAAAGACTTTTTTTTTTTAAATCACATTTGCTAATTCCCACATAGTGATCTTGCACCATCTTCACCGTGGTCTCTCAGCTCCCTGAGATGAGTTCCCTGCTTCTGCCTTTGCAGCTCACCCTTCTTTGGGGTCAGTCCTGTGATCTTTTCTATCAATTCCTTTCCTTTCGAGTCATAGGAGTGTGTGTCCTTCCAGCCAGGAATGTTCATCAGCTCCAGGTGGGAGAGAGGTTTGATCCCAACAAGCTACACTGAGGCAAAAACTACCTGTCCCTTACATCCACTAGGGCTGTACATGGCATTGGCTGCTCAAGTTAGTGATCTTGGTGTAAAAAGACAATTAAACTTGTAGTGCAGATGCAGCCCATGAGCAGTGGTTGGCGTTAGCTTTCCCCTTGACCTGACCTAAACTCCATCACTTTTCCTAGTCTAAACAAACCCTGAGCACCATGGTTATACTGTTCCTCCATTTCAAAGCAATTGTTAGTCATCAAGTTCCCCTTTCGGGAACAAATGGTTTCGTTCCCAGTTGCTCTGATGTTGCTTCAGGTTGTTCTGGAGAGCAGATATTTTTACTACCATTTCCTCACTTATAATATATTGAACTATAACAAAGAGCTGGAACAGGGCAGGGATGGGGGGAAATGTCATTTCACCCTCTGTAACAATAAAAGAAGATAGGCTAAGTCAGAGGGATTCCCTTATTTCCTATCACCGTTCCAATCCCCCTATTGTTCAATTGGTTAGGTCAATATTTTGTCTAAAGGGCTGGGAAGAGTATTTCCTAGTAAATGACTTGTAACTAAGCAAAATACCCATGCATTTGGCTCCCAAAGCAGTTGTGGCCCAGGCCCTGCAGGAGGTCGCTCCTGAAGAGATCTCCTTCCTAATCAGATGCATGTTGCCTATTATTTGGGAAATGCAATCCCTATCTAGGTAGAGATGGGACAAATGGAAGTGACATTTCTGTTCAGCTCACTCCTGGGAGATGCTGCAAATGTGTACAAAATGAAATCCGTGTTGAAAGTGATATAGCTGCAGAAAGATACCTTTTTTTAATAGATACCTGACATTTGGTGTCTTACAAGGATTCTAAGGCACTCCTGAATTTGGTCCCTAATTTAAATCTGTGCCACCAGATTAAAGAAATAAAAGGGCATATTTGGGGAAGTTATACGTCACTATCGCTACTGATATGTTGTGGGGTTGGTGAAGAATTCTATTCCAGAGAAGTGTAAAATTACTCTAAGTAAAGTCAAAGATTTGACAAGAACTCAGGTAGAAATTGCAGGTACTAGTGGTTGATTGTTCACCCCAAAGATGGACACTATGGTGACCTGTGGCCCAGGTAAACTATTTTTAGAACACTGCTCCCTAGTTAAGTGGCATTAATGACACTCCTAAAGGATGCCATCATTACATTGGGTACAACTGTCTTTTACCATTTAGATCCAAAGTTTCATGAAGCACAGACAGAATCATAGAAGATTAGGGTTGGAAGATACCTCAAGACGTCCTCTAGTCCAACCCCCTGCTCAAAGCAGGACCAACACCAACTAAATCATTCCAACCAGGGCTTTGTCAAGCCGGGCCTTAAAAACCTTTAAGGATGGAGATTCCACCACCTCCTTAGGTAACACATTCCAGTGCTTCACCAACCTCCTAGTGAAATAGTGTTTCCTAATATCCAACCTAGACCTCCCCCACTTCAACTTGAGACCACTGCTCCTTGTTCTGTCATCCGCCACCACTGAGAACAGCCGAGCTCCATCCTCTTTAGAACCCCACTTCAGGTAGTTGAAGGCTGCTATCGAATCCCCCCTCACTCTTCTGCAGACTAAACAAGCCCAGTTACCTCAGCCTCCTCATAAGTCATGTGCCCCAGCCCCCTGATCATTTTTGTTGCCCTCTGCTGGACTGTCTCAAATTTGTCCACATCCTTTCTGTAGTGGGGGGCCCAAAACTGGATGCAATGCTCCAGGTATGGCTTCACCAGTGCCAAATAGAGGGGAATAAACAATTCCCTAGATCTGCTGGCAATGCTCCTACTAGTGCAGAGTTCAGAGTGGGGAGGGAACCCTGACATGGTGGCAGTGATGGGATCATTTTGAACCAGAAGCGCAGACCTCAGGATTTTAAAAGGACACTTTTTTTTTTTAAGCTGAGAGTAGCTTGAGGTTTGGGGTTTTTTTTCTTTGCCTGAGGACAGAGTAGTTAAGCTATAGCAAAGGAATTCACAAGCTGTTCCCCTCCTCCCCCCACAGCTCTCAGGCTAGGCTAGGCTAAGGCAGGAAAGTTAGCAAAGATGACAGAAAGTGAGGTCCAGAAGAAACTGGAATTAGCCAGAAGAAGCTGAAGAGAAACAGAAGGAATATGAAAGACACATGGACTTACAGCGCTTGGAGGTGGAGGAGAGGAAAAAGGCAAAACACTTGGAGATGGAGTTAGAGCTGAAGTTCTTATAGCTGGAAAGGGTTAAGCTGGGTCTACCAGATAACCCTAACAGTCCTTCTCCAGGTACTTCTCCCCATTCCTAAAATTTCCCCACCTACAAGGTAGGCAATGATACAGAGGCCTTCTTAGAAAATTCTGAAAGTGCCTGCCTTGGATACAGCATCTCAACAGACCAGTATATGGTGGAGCAGAGGCTGCAGCTCAGTGGACGCTTAGCTGAAATGCTTAAAGAACACATGAACAACTAAGAACTTTTTTTTAAAAAGGCCAGAATTAGAATGGAGCTAACACCCAAGCATGCCCGTCGGCAGTTCAGAGCCCTAAGATGGAAACCAGACATGGCATTTTCCCGACACGCCTACCCCATTGTAAAAAATCGGGATGCCTGGATATCAGGAGCAAGTGCTAAATCTCTGGAAGATCTGCAGGTGGGAAGAAGGTTATCCCATGGAGGGACACTGGAGCCCAGGTGTCAGCTATCCACCAGTCCTTAGTGGACCCCAAATTTATCAACCCAGAGGCCCAAGTGATGATTCAACCCTTCAAGTCAAACTCTTTAAACTAGCCTATAGCCAAGTTGCTTGTCCAGTACAAGGGCTGGTCAGGAATGTGCACTTTTGCAGTCTATCACGATTATCCCATTCCCATGCTGCTGTGGGAAGATTTGGCCAACGATGTGAAGCGGGCCAAGAGGGTGGGAATGGTCACCCGCAGCCAGGCTAAGCAAACCTCCACACCTATGCCTGTTCCTGAGCCTTCTACAGGGTCCCGTCTATGTTCCCAGAGACCCAAACTGAGGAGGTAGAACTGGATCTCATGCCAACGACTGCAATAGCAGTAGTAAATCCAGTCCCAGAGACCCAACCAGAATGAATAGGCGGAGAAACCAGCACCAGAACCATTGCCAGCACTGAATCCAGCACTTGCAACCCCGTCTACAGCTCCAAAACCAGAGGGCACCATCGAACTGCCCTGGCAGCAGCAGCTAAACCTGTGCAAGAGGCTCAGCCAGAGCCTGAAACACAACATAGTGCACCAGCAGAGAACGGTTAACAGTCAACGGAAACAGCCCCATCACCTGCATCGTGTCCAGAGGGACCAAGCCCGAGTCCACAATCCAATGAGGAACTGATGTCTCCACCATCAAGGGAACAGTTCCAGGCCGAACAGGAAGCAGATGAAAGCCTCCAGGGAGTTTGGACGGAGGCACGGAACAACCCACTACCTTTCAGCTCTTCTAATCAATCCTGGTTTGTTGTAGAAAGAGGTCTTTTATACAAGGAAACTTGTTCTGGTGGGCACCAGGAGGACTGGCATCCTCAGAGACAGTTGGTAGTTCCAACTAATTACAAGGTAAAGCTCTTGAGCTTAGCCCACGATCATCCTTGTGGCCATGCTGGGGTAAGCAGGACCAAAGACCGCTTGGGGAAGTCATTCCACAGCGTGGGAGTGGGCAAGGATGTTTCTATCTATGTCCAGTCTTGTGAAGTGTGCCAAAAAGTGGGGAAACCCCAAGTCCAGATCAAAGCCCCTCTCCAGCCACTTCCCATCATTGAAGTCCCATTTCAGTGAGTAGCTGTGGATATTCTGGGTCTTTTCCCTAAAAAGACACCCAGAGGAAAGCAGTACATACTGATTTTCATGGATTTTGCCTCCCGATGGCCGGGAGCAGTAGCTCTAAGCTACATCAGGGCTAAAAGTGTGTGCCAGGCATTAACAGACATTTTTGCCAGGGTAGGTTGGTCATCCAACATCCTTATGGATTCGGGAACTAATTTCCTGGCAGGGGCCATGAAAAACCTTTGGGAAGCTCATGGGGTGAACTACTTGGTTGCCACCCCTTAGCACCATCAAACAAATGGCCTGTTGGAGAAGTACCATCAAACAAATGGCCTGTTGGAGAAGTTTAATGGGACTTCGGGGGCCATGATACATACATTCTTAACTGAGCGCTCCAGTGATTGGGACCTAGTGTTGCAGTAGTTGCTCTTTGCCTACATGGCTGTACCACATCCCAGTTTGGGGTTTTCACCATTTGAACTTGTATATGGCCGTGAGGTTAAGGGGCCATTGCAGTTGGTGAAGCAGCAATGGGAGGGGTTTACACCTTCTCCAGGAACTAACATTCTGGACTTTGTAACCAACCTACAAAACACCCTCCGAACCTCTCTAGCCCTTGCTAAAGAAAACCTACAGGATGCTCAAAAAGAGCAAAAAGCCTGGTATGATAAACATGCCAGAGAGCGTTCCTTCAAAGTAGGGGACCAGGTCATGGTCTTAAAGGCGCTCCAGGCCCATAAAATGGAAGCATCGTGGGAAGGGCCATTCATGGTCCAGGAGCGCCTTGGAGCTGTTAATTATCTCATAGCATTCCCCACCTCCAACCGAAAGCCTAAGGTGTACCATATTAATTCTCTAAAGTCCTTTTATTCCAGAGAATGAAAGGTTTGTCAGTTTACAGCCCAGGGAGGAGATGACATTGAGTGGCCTGAAGGTGTCTACTATGAAGGAAAAAATGCTGGTGGTGTGGAAGAGGTGAACCTCTCCATGACCCTCAGACATATGCAGCGATAGTACTAGCTGTGCACCAGCTTTGTGCCGATGTTCTCAGCCACCCCAGGAGTGACCAAATGGGCATACCACTCCATTGACACAGGTAATACTCGCCCAATTAAATCCCAACCTTACGAGGTAGCTCCTAATCATTTACCAGGTAACTCCTCAAGCTAAAACTGCTATAGAACGGGAGATCCAGGACATGCTACAGATGGGTGTAATCTGCCCCTCTGAAAGTGCCTGGGCATCTCCAGTGGTTCTAGTTCCCAAATCAGATGGGGAAATACGCTTTTGCGTGAACTACCATAAGCTAAGTGCAGTAACTCGCCCAAACAACTATCGAATGCCACACAACAGATGAGCTGTTGGAGAAACTGGGACTTGTTTCTAGTTCATCTCTACCTTAGACTTAACCAATGGGTACTGGCAAGTACCGCTAGATGAATCCATCAAGGAAAAGTCGGCCTTCATCACCAATAAGGGGCTGTATGAATGTAATGTGCTCCCTTTCGGGCTGTGAAATACACCCACCACCTTCCAGAAACTTGTAGATGGTCTACAAGTGGGATTGGGAGAATCTGCAGTCACCTACCTTGACGATGTGGCCATATTTTCTGATTCATGGGCAGAACACCTGGAGCATCTACAAAAATTCTTCAAGCGCATAAGGGAGGCAGGACTAACTGTTTGGGCTAAAAAGTGTCAAATAGGCCTAAACAGAGTGACATGCATTGGACACCAGGTGGGTCAAGGAACTATCAATCCCCTACAGGCCAAAGTGGATGCTATCAAAAAGTGGCCTATCCCAAAGTCAAAGAAACCGGTCCAATCCTTCTTAGGCTTGGCCAGTTATTACAGGTGATTTGTACTGCAATACAGCCAAATTGCTGCCCCACTGACAGACCTAACCAAAAAGAAACAGCCAAATGCAGTTCAGTGGAATGAAGAGTGTCAGAAGGCCTTAACCAGCTTGAAGCAACACTCATGTCTGACCCTGTGCTAAGGGCCCCAGAGTTTGACAAACCATTCCTAGTAACCACAGATACGTCCGAGCGAGGTGTGGGAGCAGTTTTAGTGCAGGAAGAACCAGATCAAGAATTCTATACTGTCATATTTCTCAGTAAAAAACTGAGAGGAAAAGCCACTGTTAAATCACCAAAAAGGAATATTATGCCATTGTGTACACTCCGGAACAGCTACGCCCATATGTTTGGGGATGGCGTTTCCACCTGTAGACCGACCATGCTGTGCTGAAGTGGCTTCATACTGTCAAGGAAAATAACAAAAAACTTCTTTGGTGGATTTTAGCTCTCCAAGATTTTGATTTTGAAATACAACACATTTTAGGGGCTTCTAACAAAGTGGCTGATGCACTCTCCTGTGAAAGTTTTTCCCAGAATCATTTACGTCCTTAAAATTTGGAAAATATTGTTAGTTTTATATAATCAGTAGTGTGTCTAGAGGGGCATGTGTCTTATTAACTCTGTTTTTCTCCTAGAGCTCCAGGAAGAAATCACAGCCAGCATGGAACAGGCTGTCCAGCATCGTCTATGATTTGGGGGGCATGTCATAAACATACAAATAAAGATAGCATAAAACCTTCCTGGGCAGCTGTACTGAATCTTTACCTGTAAGGGGTTAAGAAGCTCAAATAACCTGTTGACACCTGACCAAAAGGACCAATAAGGAAAGGGGACACTTTCAAATCTGGGAAGGGAGGTTTTGTTCGTGCTCTGTTTGTTCCCTCTCTGGATGGAGAGAGAGACCAGGCAGGTACAATGTCTCCTAAAAACATACCTGAATTGAACCATCTAAAATTACAAAAGTTGTAAGGCAAGGAAATGCATTAGATTATCTTCTGTTTTAGCTTGTGAATTTTCCCTATGCTAAGAGGTGGTTTTATTCCTGTTTTGTAACTGTGAAACTGAATCCAGAGGGGAGTCCTCTGTGTTTTAAATATTTTTATTACCCTGTAAAGTTACCTTCCATCCTGATTTTGCAGGTGTGATTCTTTTACTTTTTTCTTTATAATAAAGTTCTTCTTTTAAGAACCTGATTGTCCTTGTCATAAATATAAAGGGAAGGGTAAACCCCTTTAAAATCCCTCCTGGCCAGAGGAAAAATCATCTCACCTGTAAAGGGTTCAGAAGCTAAAGGTAACCTTGCTGGCACCTGACCAAAATGACCAATGAGGAGACAAGATACTTTCAAAAGCTGGGAGGAGGGAGAAAAACAAAGGGTCTGGGTCTGTCTGTATGATGCTTTTGCTGGGGACAGAACAGGAATGGAATCTTAGAATTTAGTAAGTAATCTAGCTAGGTATGTGTTAGATTATGATTTCTTTAAATGGCTGAGAGAAGAGCTGTGCTGAATAGAATGACTATTCCTGTCTGTGTGTCTTTTTTGTAACTTAAGGTTTTGCCTAGAGGGATTCTCTATGTTTTGAATCTAATTACCCTGTAAGGTATCGACTATCCTGATTTTACAGAGGTAATTCCTTTACTTCTATTAAAAGTCTTCTTGTAAGAAAACTGAATGCTTTTTTATTGTTCTAAGATCCAAGGGTTTGGGTCTGTGGTCACCTATGCAAATTGGTGAGGATTTTTACCAAACCTTCCCCAGGAAGTGGGGTGCAAGGGTTGGGAGAATTTTGGGGGGAAAGATGTGTCCAAACCACGTTTCCCAGTAAACCCAGATAAAGTTTGGTGGTGGCAGTGGAAATCCAAGGGTAAAATAATTTTGTACCTTGGGGAAGTTTTAACCTAAGCTGGTAAAAGTAAGCCTAGGAGGTTTTCATGCAGGTCCCTTCATCTGTACCCTAGAGTTCAGAGTGGGGAAGGAACCTTGACAGTGCTAAAAACCAAAAGGTTTGGTCTGTGCTCACTTCGTTAACCAATTGGTTATTATATTATTCTCAAGCCTCAATAGGAAAGGGAAGGTGGTTTGGGGGGATATTTTGGGGAAATAGGGACTCCAAGTGACCCTTTCCTGAACTTTTGTGTAAATCACTTGGTGGCAGCAATACTGTCCAAGGACAAGAAAGGGAATTTGTGCCTTGGGAAAGTTTTTAACCTAAGCTGCTAGAAATAAGCTTAGGGGGTCTTTCATGCGGGTCCCCACGTCTGTACTTCAGAGTGGGTAGGGAACCCTGACAGGTCCTAGATTAACTTTTCCCCAGAGCCATGCTTTCAGCAATGCTGTGGTAGATTTAAGCAATAAACAGAATCCTCGAGCATCAAGAGAGCATCTCCTTCTTTGACTATAATGCTCTTATAACAGGTCAGATCACGGCAGGCCCTCCCACCCCCAAATGCAAGATAAGGAAAAGCACGGCCAGACCCCCCACCCCAAAATCACATCTTCCAACTAGGATGTTACTATAGGCGCAGCAGCTGCACAGGTAAAGTCCGCCCAGCCGCCCCTCCCACTGGGCCACAAGTCACCATCAAAGCAAATGAACTGACACGGCTGACAGTTCCCATCAGAGCCAGGATATAAAACTCACTGGCGATCACACATTCCAGCTGGCTATGCTCTCCTGTGCAGCAAGAGTTCGCAGCACTGGTTGTGTACCGGCGCCTGTAACACAGCTGAAGTGCCTGGGCACTAACATACCACGAAGTTATCACAAAACAGGCTGCAGCTGGTCTGATGTTTAGTGCTCTGGAATAGGAAGTCAACCCAATTCACTCCCCACTTTCCCCTTGGAGGAAGCTCTGTCAGGTAAGGAACCCAAGGCCAACATGGGCAGCTAACAGTGCCCCGTGCTGTCTCGCTGGGCAAGACTTACCCACTTCTGGATGATGATCCTGAGCAGCGGGTTGGCAGAGGAGAGTGCCTTGTGGTAGTTATCGTTGTTGTGGGCAGCAATGTCCATGTACCCCAACAGCACATCCACGCAAGGGATCTGATGGACTGTCTGGATCAGCTGGTAGAACTCCTGGAAGCCGCCCACACTGGAGCGCTTCATGGCAAAGTGGTGGAACTCGGCGTCAAACTGGGGGCAGAGAAGAGGGGTCAGGGCCAGAGAGCTACAGGCCAGCACAGTAGCCTGGGGGTTCAGACTCAGCTTTGCCCTACAATTTGCTTCATGTCCAGTCCATAGGGGATCAGTGGGGCTCTCACCAACCAAGATAGCGAGGGCTTGGTGCCTGCACACACATGGAGTGAGGTCAGACTACACATGGCCTACTGGGTCCCCGACACCAACTCCTCCCCCAGGAGCCCTGAGCATCACCCCAGCACCCTCACCTCTCCAGAGGCTCCTTCCCACCCCACACTGACTGCTGCAGCAGGGCACCCTCTGGCCCATATGGGGTCCAGAGCCCAAGGATCTGCCAGGATCTAATGTGTGGGCTGAGGAGTCAAGCCAGTGAGAAGAGAGGCACCACTGGGAATGCCAGGTGGCACTGCAGGGCAGAGGGATGCTCCCAGGTGCGAGGAGGCCTGAACAGGGTCACACACCCAGGTTGCACGGGAAGCACTGCCTCTGCACTCGGCCAGTTCACTATTGCAGGGGGCTATGGAAAGCCCCTTGCCCAGCATTACTTTGCAAGGCAGAGAAAGCAGACCTGGGTCACATATAGCTAGGCTGCCATGCAGGAAGAGACCCAAAAGCCTCCTCTATGTCCCCTCACTCCCCCGTAAACCAAGCTTCACGAGACCCGGTAGCCACCGCTCCACTTCCACCACTGGGTTTGCAGAGGCCTCCCTGACCAACTGTAAGCCTGGCACATGCAAACATCAGGGCAAGGCACTCCGGTGCCAGGAGGCAATTCCACGGTCACGTTTCCACAAGGAGCTGCTGCCTACTAGAGCCTCTGAGCGGCAAGGTTAAAATCCATCCAGGGAGACAACTGTCAGGAGAGCCAAGCCCTCAGGTGTGCCCTCTGTCCCACACTTCCTCCCATGGAACCCCCTACCAGAGGCAACAATAAAGTCCACGTGGCAGCCATGAACACTGGGCAAACCTGCACTGCTGTGGCAGCAGGGATGCTCAGAGCTCTGGCACTCGGCCTGGGCTGGCAGAATAAAGGGTTAATGGGGGGTGGAAGGGAACTTCTCTGCCCAACCGCCTTAGCCAGGCATGGGAGGCTGCATATACAGCCCCGCATCCCTCCTCAGACAACCCAGGTACTTCCTCCAACAAACTCCCTCATTACTGCTCCCCTCAGAAAAAATCAGTCACCCAACAGAGAGACAAAGAGAAGCTGATCAAAACAGCAGATGCACGGCACTGTTCTGCAGCCCCTAGCCAGACTCCAGCAGGCAGAGATGCCAGAGAGGAAGCCAGGTGGATTCCAGGGTGGCCACAGCCAGGAACCTGCTTTTCTGTCTGCCCCATGCCAGAGAGGCAAAGTTTCTGGCCTGAAGAGCTGATCAACTGGCACAAGCCAGGCAGAGATCTGCCTATCCCTCTGCCAGCTCCACTGGTGAGGGCCCTTCCTCCAGAGTCCACTGATGTCCCAGGGACTGAAGGTAGAGCTGTCACAGTCTGCAAGATTGCAGCATGGTTCTGTTGCATAACCTGCCAGCTATTGCGAGGGCTTCGCACCACACAGAGCTACCGAGCTAGCCCCCTGCCTCCTTGGGGGATGGGGACAGACTGAGGGCTAGCCAGCCCCTGAACTGAAGGGTGACTTGAGCCCCCCAGGCTGCAGCCCCGTGCATGGAATAACCCGCTTGACCCCACATCCACCAGAGCAGTGGAGACACGGGCTGAGTTGGCAGTAGCCGAAGCATGCCCATCCTGTCCCGGCTGCAGCCATGGGCCAAGCAGGACCCCCTGCAACAGGGATCTGGTGCCTCCCCCACGGCCAAAGGCTGAACGTGCTGCCCCCTGGGGCTCTGGGGAAGGGCAGAGATGTGTCAGGTGGCACCGCTGGCAGGTTATTACCTTGCTCTTGACCTTGATGATGGGCTATGGGCTCCATGCCGGGGTGTGATGGTGCTTGGCCATGCTGGACCGAGCTGGGCTCGGCCGGGCCCGGCTGCTCCTCCCGCTGCCTGCCCGCCCTGCACTAGCTGTGGCTCATGCAGCCACGGGGGGTTTTCACTGGCCATGATGTCGACCCCAGCAGGTTAGGGGCCACCACGGGATTGGCGGAGGTCAGGCCCGGAGGCGGGCTCAGAACGTCCTCTGCACCAGGATGGAAGATTGCTGAAAACGTCACCTAGGTAATGGGAGTGGGAGTGGGAGTGCTCCAAGGTGTGGTATCAGAATCTGAGGTGGTGGGGGTGTGACGTTACTGACATCACCTGTGACTCTATAGATGATTGTTGCAGCCACTATTGTATATTTGCAGCAAATATGGTACAAAGGTTGTCATGTGAGGTGTCTATGGAAAGGTTATGATTTGCTGATTATGATTATGCTATCTGTATGTGTGTACCATTTTTGTAGTTGAAGTTATGAATATTGGCTATGTACTTGTATCTTAATATGTTTTGATTCTAAGTAGCCTCAGTGAAGCATTTGGTCAGCTTCTTAAGGAGGGACTATTCCTATGGCTGCTGGGAGATGGGTTTCTGAGTCGCATCCAGCACCCTCTTTGGGCCACCAGCTGAAAGCACCAAAGCCATCATCGTTACAGGGGGTGCAGGGGCAGGAGCATGTGCTGGGGGAAGCCATGGCCCAAGGGGTGCAGAGGCAGGAGCATGCCCTGGAGGGGACCATGCCCCAGGGTGGGCAGGGGCAGGGGACAAAAGGGACCATGCTCCAGGATTGCAGGGGTTAGGGCCAGGTCATGGATGGGAGCAGTGTCGGTATATGGTTTATGGATTAGATGAGGGAATCGCAAGTGGAGAATATCAAATTTATCAGGAAATATCGCATGGTACTCCCTGGGTGCTGCCATGATTAACGATAGTGGAATACACAGTTACCCAGCTATGTGGTTTGTTACAGAGGGTCCAAAGAATATAACCCTCTGGTCTCCTGGAGCAAATGAACCCTCTTGGGAAAATGGGGCCCCACATTTAGGGTGTGATGTTACCATATGTAACCACAATGGTACTTCCATGGAAGATAATCCCCGAAGGTGTGATTGTTATGTACATATTACATTAGGCGTAAAATCCCCTTTGGGACGCTGGGTGTACGATGAGTTAACCATTTTACAGAATGTAACCCTACAGGGGATATGGACGCCAAGTTGAAAGAATCCAAATTTAAAGTGGCCACAGCCCGGAGCCGAGAATATTCCCTGACGAGCAAATGTATGGGAGCCATTGTGGGAGCAGGTGCAGCCAGCACTTTTTAAAGTGTCCTTTCACTCTATTACATGGGTGGTACGCCCCAAAGAATGGTGGGTGGACCAAATCCATCCTAATTGTAGTATGTACATAAAAGGATTGAAACAACAATTCAATGGGTGGGTGAGGGGACACATCTGGAATTGTCATCGGAAAAGGGGATTGTGGGCAGCGGGGAACACTATGCTGGGTACATGGAATCTGGGGGACGAGTGGGTAACCAAACAATTAGTAAGCCAAAATATGAAATGTCAACAACAAATTAATGAATTAATGG